CTGAGGGATTGACTGAAGTGGTTGGTGAAGAGAAGGTGGTGGATTCGGTAGGTGGAGAGAGTGTCCGTAAGATTGACGAGGGAGGGACCGTTGTTGAAGTGGAGGGCAGTTTGTTGAATGGAGGGGAGGTTGTTTGTGAGATTGTTGGTAATGGAGGAATAGAGGCTTTGAAGGGTGAGGATGTGGCGAATGCTATGCAGAAAATTGAATCAAGTGAGGGGATTCTCCCTGAGGATAGTAAGGGAGAGGAAATCAAAGAGGTTGGCTCAGTTGAGCTTCAAGACAGAAAAGGTGAAGGACTTCATGAGAATCCGGTGAAAGTCGATACAGAAGATCAGGATGACAAAAGTGGGGAATTGATAGGGGATTCAGCTGGCCTTGATTCGGAGGATGGGATTCACAAGGGTGAGCATCCAAAGGGCATTTCAGCAACTGTTGATACAGAACACGGAGATACCAGCAATGGAGACTTGAAAGATACTATAGCTTCAGTGGATCCAGAGCATCATGAGGAAACTCCTGAACTGACAGCTGCTTCAGTGGATCCAGAACATCATGAGGAAACTCCTGAACTGACAGCTACTTCAGCTGTCCCACATGCAGCCCTGGGAGAATCAACGGTGGTAGCGGAAACCGGAAGCTTAAATTCTTTAGATAAGTTTGTGAATGAGAAAAATGAAGACATTCTGTCAGATACTGCTAATTTGAGAGCAGAGGATAACAAGGATTCTGAACCAGAGCATACTACTGAAAAAGGTAATGATGCTGGCCAGAACAATATTGTGTCTGGGCACCCTGAAAGGATTGCAGAAACATATCCAGAGAAGCAAAACACTCCAGTAAATAAAGAAGGTGAAAGGCACCCTGAACCTAAGCTTGCCTCTTCATCTGGAAAATCTCTGAGTCTTCCCTCCCATTCCCGTCCAGCTGGCCTTGGTCGTGCTGCCCCGCTCCTGGAACCCGCAACTAGGGCAATGCAGCAGTTGCGTGCTAATGGAGCCATGTCTCATATGCGCCCTCAACAGCTTGATGACCCTACTAATGGGGAGTCAGAGGTGCACGATGAGACTCATGAAAAACTCAAGATGATTAGGGTGAAATTTTTGCGGCTAGTGCATAGGCTTGGATTGGCTCCCAATGAAACTGTTGTGGCACAAGTTTTATACAGATTGGGAATTGTTGAGCAGCTGCGAGGGAGAAATCGGGGTCGCATTGGCACCTTAAGTTTTGATCCTGCAAGTGCCATGGCAGGACAGCTCGAGGCAGATGGGCAGGAACCCCTTGATTTCTCCTGCACAATTATGGTTCTTGGAAAGACTGGGGTTGGAAAAAGTGCCACTATCAATTCCATATTTGATGAAGCAAAGCTCCCCACCAATGCTTTTCAATCTGGTACAAAAATGGTTCAGGATGTTGTGGGAACTGTTCAGGGGATCAAGTTACGGGTCATTGACACACCAGGCCTCCTTCCTTCCGGGTCTGACCAGCGACAGAATGAGAAAATCCTTCTCTCAGTGAAAAATTTTATCAAGAAAACTCCTCCAGATATTGTGTTGTATTTTGATAGGTTGGACATGCAGAGCAAGAATTTTGGTGATCTGCCCCTGTTGCGAACCATCACCAAGATATTTGGTCCATCTATATGGCAAAATGCAATTGTTGTCCTCAGTCACGCTGCTTCTGCTCCACCTGATAGTCCACAAGGTACCGTTTCAAGTTATGAAATGTTTGTAACTCAACGTTCTCATGTTGTTCAACAAACAATTCGTCAGGCAGCAGGTGATATGTGGCTTGTAAATCCCGTTTCATTAGTTGAGAATCACTCTGCGTGTAGAAGAAATAGGGCAGGGCATAGAGTGTTGCCTAATGGTCAGGTTTGGAAGCCTCATTTGTTGCTACTTTCCTTTGCATCAAAAATCCTCGCTGAAGCAAACACTATATTAAAGGTGCGAGATAGTCCACCTAAGAAGCAATTTGCAACTCTGTCAAGAGCTCCTCCTTTACCATACCTGCTGTCATCTCTTCTCCGGTCAAGGCCACAAG